TGGTTGGTGACTGCATATACAAATTCAATCATTCCCGCTGCTTTTGCATTCCAATTCATGTCAATTGTATATGCGCAGGTTGCGGTGACATGTATCTGCATATTTGTGATATTACCGCTGACACTGGTAGGTACCATTCTAGGCCGTAATCTCGCTGGGACACCTGACGCTCCGTGCCGTGTAAATGCAGTGCCTCGACCAATACCCGAGAAAAAATGGTTTATGGAACCGCTAATAATCATAATGCTCGGTGGAATTCTACCCTTCGGTTCGATTTTTATTGAGATGTATGAAATCGTTTTATTGATATCTTGATGCGCGTTTCCAATTTAGATTAATTTTAACTTTGATTTATTCTTCATCTTTTTTCTAATTCTTAGAATTAGGAAAAAGTGAAAAATAAGGTGAGCCGAGATTAAAATTAATCTACTTTAATGGAAATAGGCATTAATTATTTCATTTAATAGTTCGTCACATTTATCGATGTTTTTTCAGGTACTTCGTTTTTACCTCATTTTGGGCATATAAGATCTACTATGTCTACGGTTTTATGTTACTAGTATTCGTAATTCTCATGATAGTGACAGTATGTGTCACTATCGTATGTACATATTTCTTGCTGAATGCCGAAGACTATCGATGGTAAGTACATTATATATCTTGTCTTTTTCTTTCATATAACGCAAATGTCATCTACAGGCAGTGGACGAGCTTTCTTGCAGCGGCTTCGACGGCCGGTTATGTATACATTTATTCCTTTTATTACTTCTTCTTCAAAACTAAGTGAGTAGATATACACCTTCTTACGGCAATATTTGCAATTCGATCGCAAATATTTGAAATCTCATCTACATCCTTTCATGTTTTCACAGAATGTATGGTCTCTTTCAAACGGCGTTTTATTTTGGCTATATGGCATTGTTCAGCTTGGCCCTGGGTATCATGTGTGGCACAGTCGGATATATCGGCACCAATGCGTTCGTGCGAAAGATATATTCCACAGTCAAAATAGACTAAAATCATTGATTGAAATATTTGTATCATGGATCATACAATGTAATTCCTAAAATTACGCGCATGCGACGCTCATTGCTCTTGACAAGATGAAGTATGTACTTTATTTGTCCAAAGCAGCTGTGTCACGTCACATCACGAGAGTGCAATTCTTGTTTTTCAGCTTTACTTATCATCAACTCAATTGACATCCGCTCCAAAAGTGGCACACAACGTGTGTCCTTTTGTGGATGTATGATTATTCTTCCAACGGAACGCTGTCGCGTGTTAAACATACAAACGACGTCTTCATCTTGTATGCGTTCGTTTCTTTTTCTTTTCATTTATTTTACTGTTCGATATAAGTAAAGATACGCTGTAAACGGATCCTATTATACTGGTATGCGTGCGCGTGTTGCAAATGCAGTCACCTGTCGATAATAAAATAATTGTAAATGTTAGAGTCGAGCTAATCTTGTATGAGTCCGAGCTATTATAAGAACAAAACTTCCGCAATCGTGCAATTGAATGTTGTTTTCATACATTTTTTATGATCCATACCGCTAAAGAGAATTGTAATAATATATATATATTTATTTAATATAATATATATATATATATACATATATATATGCATATATCCAGTGTTCCATTTTAAATGATGACCTTAAATGTATCTTGATCAATGCATTTTAGGAAAAACTGTTTCAGACAAAAGTTTTATGACTTTGAAGAGAACATAAGATGGTTTGATATTGAATGGCGTTTGGCAAGGTCTCTTTGAATTTTTAAAATGGGACCTTTCATTTTTCATTCCATATTCTCGTAGTTTACGTTATAACAATGATAACATTTGTTAAGTTCAAGATCATTGGAGATTCTTCCTCTTGTTTTCGTTTTTACGTAAAATGAAAATTCAATGAAAAAATGTTTTATTATAGTGTTTTGAAAGCTCTTGAGATAAGCTATGAGAATATGGACTGAAAAATGGAAGATTCCATTCTAAAAATTCATTGCTCTAATCTTGACAACACCAACCAAGATCAAATCAATGATACCATCTTACATTCTTTCAAAATTGTGTGACTTCAGAAAAAACGTTTTTCCCTAAAACGTAATATTCAAGAGATATTTTAGATCATCATTTAAAATCCTGTGTATGTACATGTATGTGTATATAGATATAGTGTCCCGAATTAAATCGCCAAACTTCGAAAGTATATAGAGGATCGATAAAGGATTAGTCATTTAAGTTCGGGATACCTTGTATATATAATTGCGGTTACGATCATTCTTTATCGCATATGTATATATACATATGTCTTACTGTCTCGCTTGCGAACGACTCAGAAAATTAATTGAACTATCGTACAAAAATCAAGAAGTCTTGATTTGCTTTCTATTTGTTCCATTAATAACGTTCATAACGCTCACGAACATCATTTTGTCCTCGTTATCATTAAATATTAAACAAGAATGAATTGATACATGTAAGCGTTTCGAATGTTATATGTTATGTGGAACGCACCCTTAGAGATTTCAGCTCGGATAATGAAACATAAAAAAATTATGATGTAAAATAATTTTTTCTGATTAGAAACCTTAATTATAGTTCATTTGATACTGCAAATGTTTTGAAGCATTGACCAATTAGTGAAATTATTTCTTCCGATTGGTCAGATACTTCGAATCATAGCGCCAAGTGGATCGCACCTTCTATAGTATAACAGCAATTTAGTTTCCACCAAAGTCCTCAATTTGGATTTATTTTGATACAATATGCTGTTTCCATTGGAAGTAGTGACTTTGCGAAGCAAATGAAATGGGAATGAAATGAATGCAATCAAATGCATTTCCATTAATTTATTATAAATTTTGGTTCTACGCTACATTGGATGTGAATTAATGCTTCGGTGGAAACTAGACCAGTGATGTGCCTAGAGTCACGTGATTATGATATTCGCTGATTGTGGCTAAAGTGAATTCTGTTGAACGATAAAGATAGAATGACACAATACCATTGACTGTTGTGTCATTTTTATTTATCATTAGACATAAAATAAAGATAGAATACTATTTTCATTCCGGTCAATCAGTAATATCATTATGTGACTTCTAATTCATCTCTGTTATACTGTACGATCTCTATTTTTGACTCTTGAAAACACAAAGTAGAGAAGTGTTGCAATACTGAAAGTTGTAATAAACTGCGGTAAATTAGACATTGAAAACATTTAACTGCGTTATAATTTATTGAATTAATAATTTTGCAATTAAGACTTTTTCATTGATGTAAACTGTATATCTGTTATTGTCTAACTACGGCCAGTATTCATAGGCCGATATTTATGAGCTTTCTATAATAAGTCGTTACCTAAGTTTTAAGTTTTAAGCCATAAGAAATTGACCAATCATTAATCAATTATTCTTCTTATATTCCACTGTGATTGGTCAATTTCTTACGATTTAAAACTTAAAGCTTAGATAATTACTTATTGTAGAGAAAGTTTATTATAATTAGTTCTTATATTTAAAAAAATCTTAAGTACAGTCTTGAAATGTCATAAACTAATCAAATATTTTTCGTAATAAATTGTTTATAGATTTTATATGTTTATTATTATGATCTTTCTAAGATGTTTATGAGCATCAAATTTTTAAATTGCTAAGCAATTTAATTTGTGATAATATTACGGTAGTTCTGTCGATATAGCGTTTCAAGGCCGAAAAATTAATTCGGTGAATAGTTTGGTAAAATTTTATACGTAATATAAATACGTAATATAAATTCACACCAAATTAAGTATCTAAGATATAGTTTCGATCGTTATGGACTCTATTTCTTATTGGTTGTGTACTTAAATATGATAATCCACTATAAATATCAGCTATAGCATTCTTATTTTAAAATTAATGTCTCAAAATACTAATGCAGCTCTATGGCGATATTCATAATCAGATCTTATATTTAGGACCGTCTTAAGTACAGTCTTAAGATATTATGAACCAATCAGAGTCATATTAGCATATTAAGACATTACTTAAAGCGATCTTAAAGTGAGAATCAACTATGAATATCAATTACCTATACAGTTGTAATTGATTTGACATTTTAAGACTGTATTTAAAACGGTCTCAAATATAAGAATGTAATATGAATACGACTGTAACTTAGGTTGTTTTCTGATGATCGAGTCAATTTATTGATTTCACATTTCGTTATCAACGGAAAGCTTTTAAGCTCGTTAAGCTAAATAATACGGAATAAGAAACAGGAATCGTGAGTACAGTGTCGATGAAGATCTGTGGCACGACAATCGCATAGATCATGATCTCATCCGCATTCTCTTTTTTTTTACATGTTGAATAGCACCTTTTTAGGATTCGCGAATGAGTCCATGTTCACGATTCTCTTCCGCGGGTGGACAATCGTCCGTATCACACAAATTGATCGCCATCGAGAGAGAAATGAGAAATTAATTTCTCAAACATAATTAATGATAGGTATTCGAGTAAGGGATGTAACGATGAGAGTATTACGTTTCAATGATTTTACCAAGAAACTAATGTTGGTGGGAGTCGAAAATAAAACGATTTGTTGTTAGATGTAGTGATTCTGGAAAAAAATATAAAATTTCTACGTATACAACAAGTATTCGCTTCTATTTCTTTTATTACCTTCTAATATTTCTTTTTTTTTCTTTTTTCACATTTGCTGTTTTTTACATTATTTGTGTGGTCACGCGAATGAATAAAATATTGCGGTTGATAACGTCACAGAACAATTGGAGTATTAAGGGTATCCGTCATGAAACTTTATCTTTAGGATGGAAAGGTGAAAATTTTAATCATTTAAGTTAATAGAGAAATTTTCCACCTTTTCATCCTAGGAAAAAAGTTTCATGATTGATACCCAGTATTTGAAGTGCGAGGGACTCTCTCAGTTGACCACGGTAGTGACAGTGTGGCACAAGATAGCGCCAACAGGTACACAGCGAGCTGTCGTGCAACTTCACGACTTCACGTGTCATATGGCGACGGCGTACACGTCGGCGAACGTCGCAACGGTTGCAAAACGTCATTGAGCGCCGCTGGACACGTCGAGATACACTTCCGTAGATAAGTACAAGTGCAGTGTTGTCGTGAGCTCTCAACTCGTCTCGTATTTCTTCTGCCTGCTTCTATCGCACTCTTGTCGAGGGGATTGGACGTGCGAGAACGATGGCGCCGAAGCAACGGATGCGTATCGCGAACGAGAAGGCGACGAAAAACATCACGCTACGTGGAAACGTCCCCAAGTCGTCGGTGAGTTCCCTTCGTCGAATCGTGCCCGGTTGCGATTCCTCCGAGCTTCTGAAACGCGGTCTCGCGGTTCTCGAGATTCGGCCGGCGAAGTCACGGATTACCTCCTCGAATTCCGGATTTTCTGAGAGAAAATTTGCACCTAGGAAGCGCATTTGGATGACGTTTGAGAAAATGACATATGGACGAGGGTTGAAGATTGATGTATCGTGTATGAGATAAATCACGACAATTCAATTCGTCTATTCGCGAGGATATCCTATGTAATTGTCAATCCGAGGTTATAGATGTTTATTTCTGACAGATCGCTGTCAAATTATGTTGGACATTCTCTCGTTTGCAAATCATCGAAATCGCCTGATTTCATCGGTTAACTAACGTTTCACGACGAACGGTTTACCTTGTAGTGAAAGAATCTTGCATCTGTCAACAGACAGTATCTGCCATATGTGAAACTAAGAATGTGAAATTCTTGGTGAAACTCTTATGTTAAAATGTATGAAACATTAACATTGATAACATCTTTGCCGCAATTACTAAATGCTGAAAAATATCTGTTACATTTATCATTCAAGTCATATGTCACATTTGTATACTCCACATATATGATTGACGTACTTGATACTTAAATTTCATGTATGTGTTTCATTTGTAATCTGACATCGATATCTGTATAACTAAGCAGAAACTTTTGTTACATTAGAAATCGCAAGAGGAAGGATCTCCAGTTGGACCTTGGCTCTTAGCTCTGTTTCTCTTTGTTGTTTGTGGATCTGGTAAGTACTTGTGATAATCTAGGTACAATAATTTGAAATAAAAGTTTTCTATTTCCTTTCTTGTTCTTAAATTTGTGGTTTTACTGCTGCACTAGACTTTCCTCCTCGCATTTGCCAAATATCAAACATATCTATTTCACTTTAAATATACAAACTATATACTAGTTTTTGAATATAAAAAAAAACAAACCTGTTGACATCAGGGAACAAATAAACTCTATTCTTAGTATTTTTTTTCTTCAGTTGTTTTATTGTAACAAAAAATATGAATACTGATAATAAAACTAAAAGTATACTAAGGCTGGTATTTGTAGTTAATTCTTATATTTAAGGTTGTCTTGAGATGTCATAAACCTGGCCTTATTAGCATCTAAGACATTACTTAAGACGATCTTGAAATAAGAAGACTTAGAAGACTATGGTTGGTACTCATAATCAATTCTTATATTTAAGATTTATTAAGTACAGTCTCTTAAAATTATTGCAGAATCATATTAGCATTTTAATGTTACTGATGGCTTGAAATAAGAACTGACTATAAATACTGATCAGTAATGGAATATTTTTATCATACACATGCATAGCTAAGGAAATGTGACAACGTTAGATTGAACATGAAGAAGCTACAAGTGCTAAGGATGGAAAGTTGTCAATAACTTTACATACAACTTGTTCAAAATGTATATATAAATTTATAAACTTGTCCTTTTTTAAATTTTTTCATTTATACTTTAAGATTTATATGGCCTTATATTATAGTTCCATGTGAAACATATTTTAATTAAGAAACGACATTTGTTACAGCCGTGTTTCAAATCATCCAGAGTATCAGAATGGCTTGAAGATGAAGAAAGAAAAGATGCTACTGTTGATATTATTACGACAAACCATTTACAATTCGTTGATATTCGAAGGAGACTGACAAACCGTTTTAATGTAAATTATAAAGAAGATTACAGATTGCGAGAGACGGAACATGGCAAAATTTAGACAGTAGCTGAAAAATCATTTTCCTTTTGCAGAAGAAGCTCAAAGATTTATTTATAACATTTAGCATTTATACAAACGTTTAACTTAATTGCGCTACACATAGACGAAGGGAAAATGCTCGAATGTACAAAATAAATACTGTCCCAAAAAACAATATATCTATTAAACTTATGAATCGAGAAAGAGAAAATTATTTATATTGAATTTTTTATTATATGCTTCCAACATAACGTTTTCGTTAATGTATATTAACGAAGATGTCTATGTGATTTTTACCCAAATGTATTCTTTCGTCTATGTGTATGTAGTAAATAATTGTATATATACACACACACACACACACGAATGATTTTATCATGCAGATTTCTCCTCAAGCAGATCTGCCCAATAGCATGTAAAGCTCAACTCCAATGATTGGACAGATCTGTTTTAAAGCATTCCACTGTAAGCAGTTGGTAGCTTTCTGTTGTAATGGCCTTTGAACGATGCTTTTGTGTTATGAGGTCGTTATATACATATACAAATATATATTATACATCTCAAAAAATGATTTGTGTATATGAAATATTTGCTACTGACGGTGCACACATTGTCTCTTTTAATAAGGTATATTATTAATAAAGTTATATATTGTTTTACATGAAACATGTTTAAAGATTTCTATAAAGCAGTCCTTTCACCTGATTAAGGAGATGTTCTAGTATAGAAGCCAAATTTTTATATTATTTTTGCGAATTTTTTAAAAATATAGCATAGTTTTTTTTTGGGATAGGGATGTTTCCTACATATTTATACATATTTGAAAAATGTTTTTATTAAAAAATAAATATATTCTGTAAATATTAAGTAAAGCCATGAAAAAAAAGTAAGTCCGTGACTCCAACTGTTTTACTTAACTGAAATAAAAAAACCAACGAAATTTTTAATTGGTATGAGGAGTTTGACTATATATCAGACGAGAAAAATACTACAAATTAAAAAATTGTATGATATAAAAATCAAAACTTAATATTCAATATGCCAGTACTGAAAATTTATAATGCACGTAACGTACAGATTTTTTTGAGGTCTGTTTTCTGTTATTGAACTAATGTATGTATGTACATTTTTGGAACTTAAGTCGGTGGCATACGATGCTTGTTTTCCTGCTGGATTAAAATCTTGTATTGGCTGCGGTGCTGACAGTGTCAGTCTCGCAGACAATACAGTAGAAAGAATCTAATCTACTTATAGAACATACGTATGTAGCTAGCTAGCAATCTAACAAGAAAACAAACATCGTGTGCCATCGGCTTTGAAGTGAGATAGATATATCATCATAACGGCTGGTATTATTTTGAATTGGTACGTCAGTGATGTAACGTTATTGGTCGTTATGGGCTAGTTGTTCTAATCTTCAAATAAATAGATGATAATTTACCTAATAAGATAAGTAAAAGGATGAAAGAATAGGAACATAAACAGAATAAGAGAGTAAGTCAGTTAGAACTGAAATTTACCGAAAGGTAGAACAATCCAGTTTGTAAGAATTGTGAACAATCGAAGTCTCTGCTCCCCAAGGAGGTTATCGTTGGCTCCTTCGATCCTTCTTCGTCGCAGGTACTATAATCTTTCGTAGTAACTTGAAAATCCAAATAGGTATCTTAAGAAAAAAATTTCGCAGATCTACGAAATAGCTGCAAGTGAAAATCACGAGAGACTACTGTAAATATTTATAGTATTGACGGCATTGACAGAGTCAAAATGTCCAACATATTTAATTTATTGGGTGGACTTGCTGAATCTAATGAAGGTGAGCGAAATGTGTTTGCACGATTATATTTTTTTTACATCGCAAAATATGTGTGTATATGTGTGTATGTCTGGTATACATTTCTATATTTGATATATAAATTTTAAATAATTGGACACAAAATTTTCAAAGATTTATAAAAGATGATTAGTATGTGAAGAGGATTATAGAGGATTGTGCACCTTAAATCAAGAAATTATCTTGGTTTGAATAAGAAATATATTTTACTAATACATAAAAAATATGGATAGAGAACTACTACTAAATTAAAAAAGGAATGTTGGAAAATGTGTGTAATGTGTTAACTTGTCTACAGGTCAAATAAAGCCCATTGCACGATCTAGAACATCTCACGAGATTAGATCTTTTAAGACAATGGGAGGCACAAAACCGAAGGGACTATCAATAAGATCTAATTCTGATATGAATATATCTAAAATACAGTCAGCCAAGAAAAATATTCATGATAAAGAACAGGATTGTTCAAAATTGAAAGCAACACAAATAGATAGTTATGGACGTCCAATATCTCCAGGAAAGGAAGTATCAGCAAAAGTAATTAACTCATATTTGCTAATATATTTTCAACATATTTTTAATATATATATTGAATATATAATATATATTATATATATTTATGTGATAGAATTTTCTTTTAAATCTTAAAAAATCTTTAAGAAATTAAAGCTATTTAATTTTTGTTCATTAGAAATTATTGAAAGTATCTTTTTTTATAGAAAGAGATTGTACAATCATCAAAGATTAAAGAGTGTGCTCTGAAGAAGGATAGTACAATTAACAAATATACAAAAAAACAATTAAACGATAGTGTTTTTAAGAAGCCATTACTGCCTAAGAAGAATATCAAAAGGCTTCCAAAACCAGAAAAATTAGTGCATTGGTATGACAGCCAACATGATTTTGGTATGTGAATAGTTATTGTTATTTGTAGAAAGACAATTTATAACTTAAAACTAATATGCTATTAATATTTTATAATGAAATTCTCTAATAAATTAATTTTTTATAAAGATTATGGATACATTGAGGCTGTTGAAAAAGAATTTAAAGATCTATTCTCTAAGGAGAAAGAGAACATAAAACCTTGCGAAGACAACGTACTATCAGGTATGAAGGTTAGTTTTATGTAATATTTATAAGATAATTTACTCTTATCAACTATTTGCTTTTCCTAGATCCAGAAACTTTGCTCTTGCCAGATATCATGAAGCTTACTCCTGATAAAACTCTCGATGAAGAATGCGAAAAATATTTATCTCCTAACTTACTCGAAGTATCTGATATATCTGATGACGAAAATCCGTAATGATAATTAATAATAAGAATTATTTTAATATTGTAATTTCATAATTTCTTTTATAAGAATAGATAGGACCGACCTAATATTATAATAATTTATTTTCTATGATTAATATATATTTTTATAATGTCTCCTCTGTATCCTATGACAAATGTTATTAGAACACTATAATAATTAAAAACTCATTAAGTTATTCTAATAGATTAATAAAAAAAAGTCGACATAAAATGTAATTTGTATAACAAAGTTTACAATTTATGTGCTTTTTGACCCTTTATGTTACTCATCTCTCAGTCATTTTAATTACTAAGCGTTCTTTTATTCTTATTAGTACGGTATATATCTTAAAACAATTAAATTGTAAATTTATATTTGAATAAATCGTTTATAAATTTCACTTTTAAATGCTTTTTTTGTTTTATTTAGCTTCATATATTGAACAATGGCTTCGTTTAACAAAAAGTTTATTTTGCAACTATTGAAATTTTTCTTTACTGAAAAAGGACTATTCCTTTAAGTCTAATCCAATCAGCGTAAAAAAAAAACAATTGAAAAATAAATTGCTGCTGAACGCGGCTAATGTAATCACCTGTGAATGTAATATACATATGAGATAGTATATCGGTCTTCGACTATTAAAAATGTCGAACAAATATTTTATCGTGATAGCAGGAACTGTAGATAATTTATCATTTTATTTTACGTGCTTCATTGCTATAAATCTATTAAAGTTATTGCCAAATTTTCATTTAAATAAAATTTGTGAAGCTCAGAATGGGAGGTAAAAAAATATCGATTAATATGAAATATGCTGCTTATGCTATGAGATATGTGCTTAAATAATTCGATATGAATTTATATGACGCTAAATACACGCGCTGTAAAAAAAAGATTGATATAAAAAGCTAAGGTCAATTTGTAGCAGAATTTGTAGTATTTCAGTGAAATCAAATACATGTAAATAATTTATTGCGAAAAATATTATTTCAATCGGGAATCGAATCCGGATCTTTTGCATTCCATGCGAGTATCTTAAGCTTTTAAATCATCGAGCATTACAAATTTAAAACTTCATCCTATACATAAATCTAATCATTTTCATAATAACAATGTAAGAGAAATTAAAACTTACATACAATATGTCCTATATTTAATTTTAACCTGAATAGTACAGGGTGGGCCATCTATTGGTACGTTTTTGAATTTCGTCGTATGGCAACACCGAACGAGCTACAGACCCGAAATTTTGACAGTTTATTAGTCATACCGTCCGCGGCACGAAACAACATGTTTCCTCTTGAAGAGCGTTTTGAAATTTTAAAAACTTATTTTCAAAGTCAGTGCTGTGTCGCCGAAACTGTACGAATTTTGAAAAGAAATATGGGTCGTGATAGAGCACCCACCGAAGGAGCTATACGCAAATTGGTGAGGAAAGTTCGTGAGAAAGGGATGTTAGTGGATGACAGAAGTGGTCCCAGAGCTCGGACAGTGCGCACACCCGAGAATATTGAGGCTGTGGCCCAAAGTGTGAGACAGAATCCGACGACTTCAACTCGACGCCGATCGCAGCAACTGAGCATTAGTCGCACCAGCCTGAGGAGAATACTGAGGAGAATACACAAAGACCTCGGATTATTCGCCTACAAGATCCAGATGACTCAGGAGTTGAAAGCAAATGACCATCCGCTTCGATATCAGTTTGCTGTGTGGGCTATAGACCAGCTCAATAATGACGTCGATTTTGGTCGAAAAATCATCTTTTCGGACGAAGCTCATTTCCATCTCGGCGGATATGTGAACAAGCAAAATTGCCGGATTTGGGGCTCGGAACAGCCACACACAATCGTAGAGAGACCAATGCATCCTCCAAGAGTCACAGTTTGGTGTGGATTTTGGAGTGGTGGCATAATTGGCCCATTTTTCTTCGAAAATGATGCTGGAAACGCCGTTACCGTCAATGGCGAACGCTACAGAGCCATGTTGACCAACTTTTTATGGCCTCAAATCGACACTATGAATGTGGACGACCTTTGGTTTCAACAAGATGGCGCCACATGCCATACAAGCCGACTTACCATCGACCTTCTGCGCACCAAGTTCAACAACCGCATAATCAGCCGTTCAGGAGATGTCAATTGGCCTGCGCGTAGCTGCGATTTGACACCGCTGGACTTTTTCCTGTGGGGTGCCGTTAAAGACCGATGTTATGCGGATAATCCAGAGACAATTCCAGCTTTGAAAAACAATATTACGACTGTTTTGAGTGAAATTGGCGCCGAGGTAGTCCAAAATGTCATTAATAATTGGGGTGACCGAATGGCATACTGTAAGGCCAGTAGAGGGAGCCACATGAACGAAATCGTTTTTCATTCTTGACGCGGATACTTTTAGCTTCACAACAAAAAAAAATTAATAAAAAATATCAATGTATGCTCATTTGATCGCATTTTTAAAAACGTACCAATAGATGGCCCACCCTGTATTACTCGTCCAGTATAAAACTCACAGATTAAAATACAATCATTCAGAATATTGTACATCAAAGAGTGAGTTTAACACAAAATGACTATATTTTTTATTTAAAATTAGTTTATGTGGTACATTTATATACATAAAAAATTTATGACTATTACATTAAACTTATACAATATAGACAGTATATTCGTGCAAGTGTGTGCGTGTGTATGTGTCAGTGTATGTGCGCGCGCGCGCAGGCGTGTGTGCGTGCGTATGCACTAACATAATAATAGAGCTCTATATTAAAATTCACATTTATACTCGGTGTTTGAATAAAAACTTAATAGTCATTTACATCTAATTTGTATCATAACTTGCCATGGGTGGTAATACCGGAATGTCGTAAGTTTATGCTTTTTCTTTCGTTTCAAACGAAATTTGCGTAAAACGTTCAATCATTCAGATTCTATCCAAGCGACACAAAACTTTAAAATTTATATTTATACTAGGCATGATGGTAAAACGTAACAATTTGTATTTTGCCTTATAGAAAAAAATTTGTATTTCGCTACGGAAAATCTTTATTTTCCTACAGAAAATCTTGAAAAGATTAAATATGAAATTATGAATAAAAGATTATTAGTTCAAACAATGTTTAAAACATTACGTCTTATATTAATATTCTATATTTGGCATTGAATGCGTTTGATCAACAAGTACATTTGTAATCTTTATATAAACCTTATACGATATAAATTCAAAATCTTTTTAGATGCTTTTAATACAAATATATATATTTTTTCGAAAGTTTTGGTTGCTTGGATACGATCATGTAATAATAATTTATGACAACAAAATGAAGCATATTTGGAGGGTGATAGGAATATCGCGAATGAACGCGAGGATGTGATTAATCAGGATGTGATGTCCGTAGGCCCGTGATGAGAATATGCAATATCCTTCTGTAAACTTCGAAAAGAGTTTACCATCTTGACTGAGAATGAGCTACGTATATCCTTCATTTCGAACGACACAACAATCACGGGGTAACAGTATCGCCGATGATAGACTTACTCTTAAATTATAAACAATTAGATATACACGCATGTCTTAAGTTATCTTTCGATAATGTTACAATAGCGTGGATTGTTGTTTCAACTTAATGACAGATTGATGTGCCTACGAATTGTCATAATGTTCTTCTTTTCCCTTCATCTTTTATACTCTCATTAATTAACTTACTGTATACACACATAGGCTGAACTCTTTATACGTAATATACATCAAGTCAATTTTACACGGTTCTTCAGTGAATTCTTCCGTTTTATCGGACAAACATTTAACAGACACTTGAGATTCTTGCGGTACACGCAAATATACAATGTACATACATATATCGGTATATTTTTAATATATATATATATATATATATATATATACACACATACATATGTGAATGTGTGTGTGTGTGTGTATGTGTGTGTATGCGCGCGCACGCGTGTGTGTGTGTCACTACAGATGTAATTCTTTATTTCTTACATGATTAACAATATATAATATATGCATCCTCGTGTAATTCGTTTATCAATAAATTCTTCTTTTATATTCATTTTTGTTACTTTTTTAAATTCTTTTCTTTTCTTCATAAAATGCATGACACAAAAATAAATGCTTATATTTGTAAATTATATTTACCTTCTTTCCATCTCTCTTACACACATATTCTCGCGACGTATACACTTAATAACCATATATAGCTTATTTTCTTCTTTTTACAAAATATCACAAAAATCACACCAGCCTTTGTTCGCAGCAAGAAACCATGTTGTTAAAATCTCGTTAAAACGATATTCTCGGTCCATTCTGCGCATCGCGCGCTTTCGCGTTTAAAAACATTAATATATATAATATTAACGGTATATCGATGCGATTGCACGTGCTCATGGGAACATACCATGCCATATAATTGTCGTTGGCAGTGATTTGCACGTAACAGATAGACGAAAAATTCTAGCAAATATTTGCAAGAACTTCGAGTTATGTACCATTAGAAATTTCGAAGAAAAATGCCCAACTGCAACGTCAATTACCATGTGCGTTTCTCATTTACTTTAAACATTTCTTAATCAATATGCATTTAACAAATTGATTTTGTCAATTTTATGTTTTACAAATAATCGTATGTGAATTAAAGTTTGATCAAATCAAATTATTCGAGTCGTAATGCAAGCTCGAATCAAGTTTGTACATACATATAAATATAATATAATCGGATTTTGACAAAGTACGATTACAAATAAACCTGTTCAATTCCGATTTGCAGTCAATTCATTTTTTCAATTATGAAAGAATTAACCCCTTCACATTTTACGTTCATTGTAATGTATATCAAATTTAAAGAGACATTGCCCGTTGAAATTATTTAATTCTATCGATATCATCTAAGATCTGATGTACATAATAATGCTATTATATCGGAAAAATAATCAAAATTTTGAAAAAATTTATTGTTTAGTATGAATTAATTATGAAAATGTACACGAATAGAGTAAAATTTACATCGTCCTAATAAAATCAGGTCTAAAGGGATTAAGGATTATCTCATTATTT